CATTTTCGATCTTGAATTCACTAATTCCCGTTGTAAATTGCATATCTTTGACACAAACTTCTATCCATGCGCTATGATGCCACAATATTGCTTTTGTCGTTAGATGTTGCATTTGTAGAATAAAGAAGTGGAATGGTAGAACAAAAGCTAAAGCACTCACATGAGTTGAAAGGAAGAAGATGAAATGTATTATATCTCAGACAATAAATACTATTGAAAGTTGGCCTATATATAGGCTACAGAAACTAACTGAAAGAAAATAAAAATGAACCACAACTCAAGGGACTACTGCACGATCTATATCCACTACTGCATGATCCGAAATTAGCTCCACGTAACGTCAGAATCGGTCTAAGCAAATTATTGGTGTTGTAATGTTTAACACTCCCCTTCAACACCAACTACCTTATTCCTTGTAATACCAAGTTTCTTGCCAAAGTAATCAAGCTTGCTACAGCTCAAAGTTTTTGTAAACATATCAGCAACTTGTTCATCAGTTCTAACATGGATCATTTGTATTTCTCCCTTGAGAACTTTCTCCCTGATAAAATGGTAGTGCACTTCAATATGCTTACTTCTAGCATGAAACACTGGATTTTCTGCCAAACATACTGCTGAAAAGTTGTCACAGTACAAGGGAATTGAATACTCAGTTGATTGATGCAAATCTCTTAGCAACTGGACCAACCAAGTGATCTCTTGCATCGCCATCGCTGCTGCTCGGTACTCTGCTGCTGTTGTCGACAAAGACACCGTTGGTTGTCTTTTGCTACACCACGAAACCGCTCTACACCCAAGCATAAACACATAGCCAGTTGTTGAACGCCGAGTTTCACAATCTCCTGCATAATCTGCATCACAGTAGCCAGCTAGGGTGTTACCTCCACTTTTCTTGTACATAACACCCTAACCAAGAGTGCCCTTAACATATCTTAAGATTTCCGAGCAGCTTCCAAATGAGGTTTCTTCGGACTTTTCATGTATCGACTCATTACGCCAACTGCAAAGGACAAGTCAGGACTTGGTAAGGTAAGATAAATCATACTACCCACTAACTGCATGTACACCGTGGCATCCTCCAAAATTTTCCCTTCATGTGCGCAGAGCTTCGCATTCAATTCCATTGGCACTGATATCGGTTTGCAATCATACATGCCAAACCTATTTAGCAGGTCTCTAGAATATTTATGTTGATGCAGAAATATTCCCTCTCCACTGCGAACAATTTCTTGTTTGGGTTTTTTCCCTCTCTGTGGACGTAAGGTTAGTGAAAGAAAGGACAAAGACGAAAGTTCTGTATCGTGTATAATACACTACCTTAAAAACATTCACGACCAGGGATTGAGTCGTATGCTTTCGACCGGCAAAACAGAACGGACACGGGCAATTCCTATTATGCAATAGCAGGAAAATCGAACAGAAGCAGTTTCGAAGTAGCAGAAGTATTTTCGAAACAGCAGTATTTTCGAATGCAGTGTTGCTCTCTATGTTGCGATTTTCTAACCTGCTAACCTCATATATTTATACTACAAAGCAGCATAAATGTAGCATCATACCACCTCCCATTACCCTAGTTTGTAGCGCTAGAAACATGTAGGAGACTAACTCTGCACACTCCTTCATGGAGTGGTGCAGACAAGGTCATTACAAGATCCACGAAAATAGGGTAAGAAAAAAGAGATTTAGAGCAAAATGTTGACCCCACCACACCGCGCGTCGTGACGAGCCGAGCCGGGCGGGCCGCGGCCGCGGCGCGCGCGTGGTCTACCCCTTTTCCCTTCTCATAACACTTCAAAGTAGATGAAAAGCCTTGGAGTATATAAGCAAGGAAATAAGAGGCTAAACTTCCAATGTGGGACAACATGGATAGGCAAAAGGAAGCCTTTCCCTTTAAATGCTCCCAACAATCCCCCACCATTAAAGGGATTTAGGCTGATGCTGTCATTGCCTGACAACGATCAAAACAAATTTTCATGCCAGTGTATAAAACTTGAACTGTCATATAGTGACATTAAGTACTTCTCTAAACGTGAGTGAATTTGATCTTGAACTCATCGAATAGACAAAGTTTGAATTTAATGCACTTAATTTGCTTTGGTTGCCTTGATATATGTGAGGTCACACTCTTGACCCGGAGATATCCCATGTTAGGTCTATTCTAGGATAGACCTTCAACTCTGTCAAGTCTACCTCAACGCAGACCACCATGACTGGCTATAGAGTATCTGTGGGTCCCAAACCCATTTCCCTTGATGTATCAAGGACGGTTTTTCTGTTTAGGCCCTTTGTGAAAGGATCAGCAATATTCCTTTCAGATCTCACAAAGACCATTGTGATTACCCCATTTAGTATTGACTGCCGAACAGACTCATGTCTGACTCTTATGTGTCTACGTTTCCCATTGTAGACACTGTTTTGCGCAACACAAATGGCAGTCTGGGAATCACAATGTATGGGAACAACAGGTGCTGGGCACCCCCACAATGGCACGTCTGCCAAAAGATTTCTCAGCCATTCGGCTTCCTGACTTGCTAGATCTAGTGCTATGAACTCTGATTCCATAGTTGATCTGGCTATGCAGGATTGTTTGGTCGATTTCCATGATATCGCGGCTCCACACATAGTGAATACGTATCCACTAGTTGAGCTTACATCATCAGCGTCGTTTACCCAATTTGCATCACAGAACCCCTCGAGCACAGCTGGGTGTCCCTTATAGTTAAGGCCCCAGTCTATTGTGCCTCTTAGATACCGAAGTACCCTTCTCAGTGCATCCCAATGTGAGATACCAGGGTTGTGAGTATACCGACTGAGTTTATTCACAGCAAATGCAAGATCTAGTCTAGTATAGTTCATCAAGAACATTAGACTCCCAATTATCTTTGCATATTCTTCTTGAGACACACTGGCCTCTATGTTCTTTGATAATTTGACGCTGGGATCATAGGGGGTTTTAGCTGGAGTTACTTCATAACTCTCAAACCTCTTCATGAGTTTCTCCGTGTAATGACTTTGGGATAAAAGGTAACCTCTCTTAGTTTTTGTAACCTTTATCCCGAGTATTACATCAGCCTCCCCTAGATCCTTCATATCAAACTTGTCACATAGAGTTCTTTTAGTCTCTTTTATAGCTCCTATACTTGAGCTAAAGATAAGCATGTCATCTACATAGAGACAGATTATTACGATGCTAGACTCTACCTCTTTTGTGTATAAGCAGGCATCTGAGCGGTTAGTGGTATAACCTAGCTCTAGCAAAGTTTTGTGAAACTTTTCATACCACTGCTTAGGGGCTTGTTTCAAGCCATAAAGAGATCTTTTAAGTCTGCATACCTTCCCTTCTTGGCCTGGATCAACACATCCGGGGGGTTGTTCCATGTATATCGCATCTTCTAGTTCACCATTTAGAAAGGTTGTTTTTACATCCATCTGATGTACTATCAACCTGTGTAAAGATGCTAAAGCAAATAGAATACATATAGTAGTTATCTTTGTTACTGGTGAATAGGTATAGAAGTAATCCTCACCGAATTTCTGTGTGAAACCTTTGGCTACCAGCCTGGCTTTAAATCTTTCAATTGAACCATCTGGTCTCAATTTCCTCTTGAAAATCCATTTACAGCCTATGGGTTTACAACCCTTGGGCAAATCCATGATTTCCCACATATGATTAGACTGTATAGAGTCTAACTCACATTTGACTGCTTCTCTCCATAGAGTGGCGTCTACAGATTGCATGGCTTCTTGAATGGATTTTGGTTTTTCTTCTAACACAAGTTGACATATAAAACGATCACACAGTTCATTTGGATCTTTCAATTCAGTCATATACGTTATGAAGTCAGAGCCAAAGTTTTTCTCAGTTCTGGGCCTTTTACTTCTTCTAGGCTCTTCTGAATTACATGAGAAATCAGGAAAAGATATATTATGTTGAACTTTATTCGTATCTAGTTCAAGAGCACCCTTCAAGGGAAACACATGTTCAAAGAAAACTGCATCTCTAGATTCACATATTGTACGGTTTTCTAAACACATAAACCTGTAAGCTGCGCTATTTTCAGCATATCCAATAAAAACGGCATCTAAGGTTTTAGGTCCCAAGTTGGGCCTTTTAAAGGACGGAAGTCCCACCTTTGCCAAGCAACCCCATACTTTAAAGTATTTAAGATTTGGCGCATGCCCTTTCCACAGTTCATAAGGGGTTTTTTCAAACCCTTTGTGTAAGACTCGATTTAGAATGTGGTTAGCTGTTAGAACAGCTTCTCCCCACAATGAATCAGAGGCACCTGAACTGATTAGCATGGCGTTGATCATCTCTTTGAGAGTTCTATTCTTTCTTTCTGCTATGCCGTTTTGTTGGGGTGTGTAGGGTGCAGTTACTTCGTGTACAATGCCAGAAGATTCACACATATCTTTCAAAAAGGTTGATTCATATTCTCCTCCTCTATCGGATCTAAGCCTTTTGATCCTTTTTTCCAACTGATTTTCTACTTCATTTTTAAAAGCAACAAATTTTTGTTCGGCTTCACTTTTTGTTCTCAACAAATATAATTTTGTATAACGAGAAAAGTCATCGATAAAAGTTATATAGTATCGCTTACCACCTCGACTTTCAGTGGTTTTAAAATATGCTAAATCAGTGTGAACCAATTCTAACAGTGATGAAGAACGATGCTTTACAGTTAAAAAGGATGCTCTAGCAAATTTTGCCTCAGCGCATGTTTCACATTGTTCACATGTATCATTAGACATGTTTGGTAGCATATTCACGTTTTTCAATCTATTTAAACATTTTGCACCAACATGTCCTAATCTAGCATGCCAAACATTAACTGATACAGCAGTATAAGCAAAGGAAACATTCTTATTATCACGAGCATTCAGAGAAGAGCCAGATACATCAAAGTTATTGTTAACTATAGAGACATCTAGTACAAAAAGACCTCCACTGAAATATCCAGACGGTCAGACTCAAAAACCAGACGGTCAGACTCAAAAACCATCTTAATTCCAGCCTTATTAAGAAGGCCTCCGGAAATCAGATTTCTTCGAAGGGAAGGGACATAAAGCACATTTTGCAACAGTAAATGTTTTCCAGAACAAAGCAGTAATTCTACTTTTCCTCTACCACTTACCTCGGAAACGCTGGAGTTTCCCATGAAGACTTGTTCTCCACCAGTGATAGGCTCAAAGGTTTTGAATGAAGCTTTGTTGTTGCAGAAATGTCGTGAGGCTCCAGTGTCCACAACCCATTCGTCTGGATTTTCCACAATGTTGGCTTCAGTTACTACTGCAGCTACCAAATCAGCGTCTATTGTGTTCTCCGCCAGATTAACTTGGTTCTTCGGCTTCTCATTGTTTGGTTTCTGACTCGTAGACCCATAGCGTTTATAGCATTGGGCAGCATGGTGGCCTCGTTTTCCACACACATAGCATTCACCACTATTGTTCCCTTTTTTCTGAATTTTTCCACCCTTGCCGCGAGTGGAGTTATTGTTCTTATTATTTTTCTTTTGGTTTCTAGAATTGTCACCAGGTTTTGGTTTCTCAAAGCCAAAGTTAGTTTCAACAATATTAGCTTTAGCAACGTTAGTAAGAGAAACAGACCTTTGAACCAGGCGGTTTTCCTCCTTGATATTTATGCTATTGATTAGCTGTTGCAGTGTGTAGCTCCTTCGATCATGTTTCATTTTATTCTTAAAGTCCACCCAGGAGTCGGGCAGTTTGTCAATCAAGGAGTCACACAGGACTACTTCATTAACTATCCCACCTTCTGTTTTCATGTCACCGACTAAATTTTCAAACTCGTGGACCTGTTCGATTACAGGTTTGGTTTCCACCATTTTAAAGTGTAACCAATGACCCACAGCATATTTGTGTCCCCCCACATCATCAGCCCCATATTTCTCAATCATTAAATCCCAAATTGCCTTTGCAGATTTGTATTCAGAAAACATATCAAACAACGGATCACTTACACGTTGAAGAAAGGTTGTCCGGGCAGTCTTGTTATCTTTTTCGTATTTGATGCGAGCTGCCTCGGCTGCAGATGTATCTTGAACTGATGATGACTTCGGGTCCGTGGAAGTATCTGCAGTAGCTGTACCATCTGTAGACTTCGGGTCTGTCGCAGCAGTTGAAGCCGTGGTCTGCAGTGCAAGTTGTGTAGCAGGCACATTGAACTTCGCAGGGTCTGCAAAAAGGACATAGTCCACATCCTTCGATTCCAGAAGCATGATTAATTTTGCAGCCCATCTCTTATAGTTCAAACCACCAGTGAGTGGTTGAATAGGGGCAATATCAGACACAGTGTTTGATGCAGACATTTTTTACTCAAACTTGATAGATGAATGTTTTTAACTGTTGGGTTTTTTCCCTCTCTGTGGACGTAAGGTTAGTGAAAGAAAGGACAAAGACGAAAGTTCTGTATCGTGTATAATACACTGCCTTAAAAACATTCACGACCAGGGATTGATTTGTATGCTTTCGACCGGCAAAACAGAATGGACACGGGCAATTTCTATTATGCAGTAGCAGGAAAATCGAACAGAAGCAGTTTCGAAGTAGCAGAAGTATTTTCGAATGCAGTGTTGCTCTCTATGTTGCGATTTTCAAACCTGCTAACCTCATATATTTATACTACAAAGCAGCATAAATGTAGCATCATACCACCTCCACCACACCGCATGCCGACCGGGCGGGCGGCGACGGCAGCGCGCGCATGGTCTACCTCTTTTCCCTTCTCATAACACTTCAAAGTAGATGAAAAGCCTTGGAGTATATAAGCAAGGAAATAAGAGGCTAAACTTCCAATGTGGGACAACATGGATAGGCAAAAGGAAGCCTTTCCCTTTAAATGCTCCCAACATTTCTAAACCAAGAAAATGATTAAGATACCCCAGTTCTTTCATTTTAAAGCGTACTGACAAATTTTCCTTCGTTCTGAGAACCTCTTCAACATCATCACCAGTTAAAACTAAATCATCCACGTATACTAGCACAATGGCTAGCTTACGTCCTTTAGCTTTGACAAGCAAACTGGAATCCGACGGTGCCACTAAATAATCATTGCAAACAAGAAACTTTGCAATCTTGCCATACCAAGCCCTAGGAGCTTGCTTTAAACCATAAAGAGCCTTCCGAAGCTTACACACATACTCAGGATGAACTTGACTCTGAAAACCCGGCTGACACACATATATATCACGATCTAGTTCTCCATGCAAAAATGCATTTTTCACATCCATCTGCCAAAGGGCCCAATCTTTATTTGCTGCAAGTGCAAGTAACACTCGAACAGTAACAAGCTTTGCTACCGGACTAAAAACTTCATCGTAGTCCAGCTCATATTGTTGAGAAAATCCTCGGGCTACTAGACGAGCCTTAAATCTCTCAATTGTACCGTCTGCATTGTGCTTCACCTTGTAAACCCATTTACACGAAATAGGTTTAACATCTTTCGGCATCGGAACGAGCTCCCATGTCTGGTTCTGCTCTAACGCAATAACCTCCTCTTCCATGGCACTAATCCACTCCGGCTTCTGAAATGCCTCCTCAAAAGTCTCTGGCTCTTTAGCTTCTTCTACTTAACAGCAGCATTAGCATACCTGGGATTTGTCTTTCTAACTCTTGTGGATCTTCTTAGCGGAAGTGGTGTACTCACTCTATTGGAATCCCCAACTTCACTTTGTTGCTGGTATTCGCCAGCTTGATCTTGAGTTGGCATGACCTCACCATCTTCACTTTCGTCTGCACTCTCATTCCCTCCTAGACCCAATTGCACTGGGGAAGACTCCAGTACCTCTTTAGAGGAGTTAGAATCTGGCAAGACTCGTTCACCAGAGGACCACCACGAAGAAGCTTCATCAAATACTACATTACGAGACGTATAGCACTTCCCTGTTGTAGGATCACAGCAACGCCACCCTTTCCTTTGATTGTCATACCCAACAAAAATACATTTGACAGCCTTCTTTTCCATCTTGCTTCGCAAATGATCAGGCACAAACACATAGCACACACAACCAAAAACTCGAAGGTAACTAACTGAAGGTTTCATGTTATGAAGTCTTTCAAATGGTGAAAGGAAACTTAACCTCTGTTGGGGAAGTCTATTAATCACAAAGGCTGCAGTCCTCATCGCCTCAACCCAAAAATGCCCAGGAACACTCTTAACATGCAACATACGACAGACCTCTACTAAGTGTCTATTTTTCCTCTCTGCCACGCCATTCTGCTGCGGCGTACCTGAACATGTAAACTGATGGCTTATTCTGAAGTCTTGAAGAAAAATTTAGAATTCAGCTGAGGTGTACTCTCCCCCATTGTCTGTGCGCAAGCAGCAAATGGTCCTGCCAACTTCTAGTTCTACTTCATTTTTAAAAATTTTAAATTTTGACAATACCTCTGACTTTCCCTTCATAAAATAAACCCACACATGTCTGGAAAAACCGTCAATGAAAGTGACCATGTACTTCAGTCCGCCAACGGAAGACTGTTTGACTGGTCCAAACACATCAGAATGAACCAACTCTAACGGCTCCTTTGCTTGGCATCTGGACTCTTCATAAGGCAGTTGGTGTGCTTTGCCATACTGACATCCTGCACAGACAGCGCCACTCCTCACTTCAAGTTGAGGGAGTCCCCAACATGACCAAGCCTCAAGTGCCACAAGTCTACAGTCTCGTTCTTCCTCGCTTTGTCTACAAACGCAGTTTCAGCAGACATTACATAGATTGACTCCAATCTTCACCCCGACACCACTGGTTCTTTTTTAATCTCAAGATCTCGATATATTTTCACATCTTGTGGTCCAAATAAGACAAAATGGCCAGAAGACGTCAATTGTGACACCGAGAAAAGATTCTTCTTCATGCCAGGAACATGATACACATTTTGGAGTGGCACTTTTATATCACCATTTTGAGGAGATACTGTCACATTACCGACATGCGCTATCGGTAGCTTGGAGTTGCTTGCTGTTACTACTACATGTCCTCCTTTATATTCTGCCACATTCTGTAATTTTTCTGCATCACCCGTCATATGATTGGAGCAGCCCGAATCAACAATCCAATCATTCTCATAGTTAACCTGCTGGAGTGTTGTTGTTGTTAAAGCTTGTTCGCTTTTACTTGAAACAAATGACGCCTCTCCATCCCACTCCTCTTCAACCTTCTTGGAAGTGGCAGCATTACTCTCCACAACCTTCTTCCTAGACCAACAATCTTTTGCCATATGCCCCTTCTTGTTGCAAACAAAACATTGTCCGTTGAATTTCTTGCCACGACTTTGATTTTTTGAAACTCCACTCCCGCGATTGCTCCTTCCATTCTGATGACCTCTAGTCTCGTCATCATTCCTGTTGGATCCACCAGACGAATGTTGCTTTGAGTTTCATCTATCTTTGCTAACGTAGAGTGCCTCCTCTTCTTTTTTCAGAGAGACTCCTCCCATTTGCTTGGCTAATGATTCTTGATTAGCAAGCAAATTCTCAAACTCTACAAGCAACGGCTGCTCTTGCCACCCTTGTACTGCAGCAACAAAGACTCTAAACTCAGGCCGCAGACCGTGGACGATGATTCGTTTCATCCTCGTATCTTTTATCGGCGCTTCTGGATCCAGCTCTGAGATATCCCGGTATAGCATCTTCACCTTGTGAAAATACTGTGCAATTGACATGTCACGTTGTGCTATGGAGAGCAGCTCACTTTCTAACAGTTGGAGTTTTGAAACATTTTTCTTCGAGAACAGTTTGGTGAGTGTATCCCAAGCCATTTTCGGTGTTTGCGCGTCTCAAATGTGCTCTAAGATCTCCTCTTCAATTGTTGTCTTAAGAGCAAACATGGCTTTACCCACTTTGATCTTCCACTTCCGTACGACGCCATTTGCGTCCTCTACTGGTTGAGCCACTTCTGTACCGTTCACTACCTCCCACAGGTCTTGCCCTTGCATGTACGACATCATGCAGGTAGACCACATATTGTAATTATCATTGTTGAGTTTCTTCATACCACTAGCAACTTGTAAGTCCACCATCAAGTTGACAGTAAAACGTCTCACAATAAAAAATAATAATATGTGGAATTTTCTAACGTGGCTCTGATACCAAATGTAGAATAAAGAAGTGGAATGGTAGAACAAAAGCTAAAGCACTCACATGAGTTGAAAGGAAGAAGATGAAAT